GCATTGATCCCTGGAGATTTTACAATCCCCAAGACAAGAAATTTTCTTTCTTTTCCCACTTGCATCAATCTTTCTCTCGTATAGACTACTTTTTTCTTGACACTAAACTAATTCCAAATGTTCTATCTGTTGATTATCACCCCATTGTCATTTCTGATCATGCCCCTCTTTCATTAGATCTTAAGTTTACTTGTCAACATCGCTATATCACACCTTGGAGATTTAATCCTCTACTGCTTTTAGATGAAAAGTTTAACACATTTATCGCAGCCCAAATTGATGATTATGTTACAATAAATCAGAATGACAGCGATCCAATTTCATATTCTTTACTTTGGGAATCACTAAAAGCATTCTTACGAGGACAAATTATCTCATACTCCGCCCATTTGAATAAGACGCGCAAGGCAAAATTGTTAGAACTTAGTGCTAATATTACTATTCTGGATCAGAAAATTGCTGTTTCTCCTTCACCAACTTTACTTAAACAGCGGGTAGATTTACAGACCGAATTTGATCTTATCACCACCAATGATGCAGAGCGACTTCTCCTACGGTCTCACTCTACTTATTATGAACATGGTGATAAGTCTAGCCGACTTCTCGCTCATCAGCTTCGTCGTCGAGCAGCTTCGCATATGATCCCCCAGATAATGGACTCGTCAGGTACTTTGCATCAGGATCCCACTACTATTAATTCGGTTTTTGAGGCATATTACTCATTGTTATTTGAATCTGAATCCCCAACTGATTCAACTGAAATGACTCAGTTTCTTGACAGTCTCGAATTTCCTGAGATAAACCCAAATGTTGCCAAGGAACTCGATTCGCCTTTAACCTTGGAGGAGATTGTGGCTGCCATGAAAAGCATGCAAAGCAACAAAGCTCCCGGTCCAGATGGATTTCCTGTTGAATTTTTTAAAAAATTCCAGGACAAGTTGTTTCCATTATTGTATGCAGTATATAAGGAGTCATTACAGCAGGGCAGTCTCCCCAATACTTTAACTCAAGCCTCGATTACTCTCCTCTTGAAGAAAGATAAGGATCCAGACCTTTGCAGCTCATACAGACCTCTCTCCTTGATAAATGTTGATGCCAAGATTCTTGCTAAAGCTCTAGCGCGTCGTCTAGAAAGTGTAGTACCTACTATTGTTTCACATGAGCAAACAGGATTTGTTAAGGGGAGGCAATTATTTTTTAATATCCGTACTCTCTTGAATATTATTTACTCTAAGACCAACACTGAAATTCCTGAGGTCGTGATCTCTGTCGACGCTGAGAAAGCGTTTGACAGAGTTGAATGGGATTACTTATTTGCAGTTTTAAGAAAGTTTGGACTGGGCGATGCATTCGTTTCTTGGATACATCTCTTTTATATTTCTCCTCATGCTAGTGTCTCCTCTAATGGCATTCAATCCAGTTTTTTTAAACTTTTCCGCGGCACTAGACAGGGATGCCCGTTATCTCCCCTCTTGTTTGCACTGGCCATCGAGCCTTTGTCAATCTTTCTTAGGACCTCCAATAATTTTACTGGAATTTCCCGATTAGGCACAGAATTCAAACTATCGCTTTATGCTGATGATTTATTGCTTTATGTCTCAAATCCTTCTCTTTCCATACCGTCAATCCTGTCTGCTTTCCAGAGATTTGGATCTTTTTCTGGTTACAAAGTAAACATCGCTAAAAGCGAATGCTATCCTATTAATGATCCTGCTTTAAAGCTTTCACAATCGGACATTCCGTTCAAGCTGAGCTCTTCTGGTTTCAAGTATCTGGGCATTAATGTAACAAGATCATTAAGCTCTCTTTTCACTGCTAATTTTCTGCCTTTAATTTCTAAAATCAAATTGGACCTCCAAAGATGGAATAGTTTACCACTCTCACTTATAGGTAGAATCAATGCAATTAAAATGAATGTTTTACCAAAATTTCTTTTCTTGTTTAATTGTCTCCCACTTTTTCTCCCAAAGCATTTTTTTAGGACGCTTGACCAAGTTATTACTGGCTTTCTATGGCGTGGAAATCAACCTAGAATCCGCAAATCCACACTTTACAGATGCAGGTTTGGTGGCGGATTGTCGCTTCCAAATTTCCAGCTGTATTACTGGGCAGCCCACATCCATAAAATTTCATTTTGGTTTCGATCTGTGGACTTCCCATGGTGCAACTTGGAGGCACAATCGTGCTCCCCTTCCTCACTAGTTGCTTTTCTCACTTCCCCTATTACATCCAATCCATCTGGCTTTGTAAATAACCCAGTTGTTCGATCTGTTTTAAAAATTTGGTACCAGTTTAGGAAGCACTTCAAATTTCACTCTGCATCTACGCTTGCCCCTTTAATGAAGAATCATTTGTTTCAACCAGCACTCACTGATCCGACCTTTTCATTATGGAGTAATAAAGGGCTGACATGTTTTAGCAATTTTTACAAGGAAGGTATTTTTCGCAGTTTCACAGACCTTTCATCAGAATTTCAACTCCCCCCCTCTCATTTATTCCGGTACTTTCAGGTTAGGCATTGCGCTAAAGCTTTATTTCCCAGTTTTCCTTCCAGGCCGCTGAACTTGCACTGGGAGATGTTTCTGAGCTGGGATCCTCTTCAGAGTTCATATATATCTAAAGTCTACCATGAAATTTTATCTTTTGATTCTTCGACCATTACCGGGGTCAAAGCGGCTTGGGAGATTGAACTGGGTCTAAATTTGGGTGAGGACTGGTGGAATAATGCTCTTAAGAAAATTCACACAAGTTCAATCTGTGCTAGACTTTCTCTCATACAATTTAAAGTTCTCTTTAGGGTTCATTTCTCTAAAACTCGTCTGTCTAAATTCTTTCCCTCTGTCTCTGACAATTGTGACAAATGTCATGCATCTTCCTGCAATTTAACTCATATGTTTTTTTCCTGTCCATCACTCCACAGTTATTGGCTAACCTACTTTGATACAATGTCAAAAATACTCTCAGTAGTTATCAAACCTTCTCCCCATGTTGCTATATTTGGGCTTCCTGATGACTACAAACAGTTCACTTCTAACCAGTTGGATATTCTAGCATTTACTTCCTTACTGGCAAGACGGCGTCTACTTTTTCATTGGAAGTTAACAGTTCCACCTTCTAGTGGCCAGTGGCTTAAAGACACCATGTCTTTTCTAAAATTGGAAAAGATAAGATACTCATTGAAAGGCAACCCTGCTAAATTCTATATCTTATGGGGCCCTATCATGAGATTCTTTCATTCTCTTCAGTCCCCCTTTCCTAGATTAGATTAGGTAATGCACCCTACCCCACACCCACCCTCCATTTTTTATTTATTTATTTTTTTATTTTTTTTTGTTTCTTTATTTTTTTTTATTTTATTTATTTATTAATCTTTTTTTTTATATATACATTGTACTCTGTTCAGTTTTGTAAGGAAAAAAAAAAAACCCACAGGAGCTAAATTGTATGCCTTTCATTACGTTACTATCCATATATATGTATGTTCGATATGGCATACCATGTTGTTTACAGTTTAAATTTTGTCTGTAATGTCTCTCTTACTCCTAATAAAAAATATTAATACAAAAAAGATATTATTCAAAATATAACAGGGCCTGTATAGAATTCAAAGGCCATGTTAAAAAACACTGGTGTTTCTCAAACAATACCTTAGCCAATGGCGTAACTATCGTTAAGCAGAGACTGCAGTTGCTTAGGGGCCCCATCACTGACACATGGCTGACCCCCTACGCAATTTTGGACTAGGACATTTCTTTGCAGATGTAATAGTGCGAAAAATTCATCTTAAACCCACCTGATACTAAAATGACTTTATTTATACCTCAACACATGCCAGATTTCAACCTGATGGTGAGCCATTTAAACATAACACCAATTACAAAGCAGTGGTACTTTTAATTACTATGTTAATAACTGTGTATAGTTCATTAGACGGACGGTACAAAATACACTCATATAATATGTTTCAAACCGCAATAAAGATCTTACAAGAACAATGTGTTTGAGTATTTTATTTTTTACACTATGACTTGGCATTATGGGTAATCCAGAGCGTAGATTAAAACCATTACTGTTATGTACAAAGTGTTAGCAACGATGGATACCAAAAAGAGGTGCTTAAGCGGATTCCAGAAAAGAAAAAGGAAAGAAGAGTTGCTGGAAGAGCAGAAAGGACTTCCCAAAATAAACATGTTCTTTCAAAGAACCAAAGAGGGAAATGAGAACGTTGCTTCTGCAGTGAGTGAAGATTGCGACCAGGAGATGAATGGAAAGAGCGTGGGTGAGGAGGGGGGCTTTGAAGCTCAAGGTAGCCCAATAAGACTCATTTTACAGCAGAATATATTAAAGTATATCCATGTCTTGGGAAAGTAAAAAATGATGAAATGATGAAGTGTGTATGTATGGGGAACATTTGTGATTTAAGGCAGTACATATCATCTGCCTGAAAATGGTTTTGTTCTTAAGGATTAAGTAAGCACACTAAGGGATCAGTGCCTGCACCCCAGATGTGGACACCTTTATGGGTGAAGCAAAATGTGGCCTTTTGCACCCAGGAGAGGCAGCTTTGGAGATACTCTTACCCAGCATTGAAACCATTACAACCTGACCCTTAATCAGATTTCTTTTTCTTTGATTAATACATAGAAGTATTTATAGTACTTTTTTTTTCAATACTTACTAATTTTACTATCATGTAGCACCATCCAAGACAGATGAGAATGAACTAGTTAAAATTTTTGGGGTGTTTAATTATCAGATCTGTGCAATAAGAGATAATGTGTCTTTTTTATTTTACTAGGAGGAAATTCTTAAATAGGCCTGCTCAGAACAAACAATTAGGCTGAATCTCAAGTTTCAAATGAGGTTTTAAATCAGCTTACTCTCATAATCCTTGGAGTTATGCATCAACTGGCCGCTAGGGGGTCGCTAACCCTCTTCACTTCCTCTGTTAAACTTTGCTTGAAGTTTTCTGGTGGGCGGATACCTTCCTGTCAGCTGCACTTCATAAGTGAAACACGTTGATGGAAAGGCAGCAGCAGAAGTGTGGAGCGTGTCTCTAATAAACTGGACGTCAATTATCCGGAGAGCATCAAACAGCTCAAGGTAATCAGAGAGACGGCCTCAGGTAGTGGTTTATTTCTCATTAAATGTGAATTTTTTTTATTTTCCTATGCTGATTGTCCTTTTGCTCATGTCTGATGTCATTAATTGAACTAAGTTAAAATGCTTGCTGCAGGTCTGTGACTGCCGCGCTCCGTAACTAATGAAATGTTTCCCATTTTGCCCCTCAATTAGAGCTGCACCTTTTCCCCAAAGCTGAATATTAAAGATGGAGTGGCGGCAGCAGAGCAGCGTCAGCTGCGAGGACGCCTTCACAGAGGCTCAGCGCTGGATTCAGGTCTGTCTAATTACATCACATGGTGATTATCAACTGCTAAAATGCGTGTTTTTGTCCCCCCCATTCTCCCTCTTGCACATAAAGACAATATATGGGTTAAAACCAAACACAAACAAAAGTAAAATGTATAAAAGTTCACCTGTGCATCGTTTGTGATAACAAACCTCCCTATATATGACCTTTTAAGCACTATTGCATTTAACCAGGCGTCACTTTGCAAACTTATCTTAATGCAAAGCATGCTTTGATAAGACTTTAAAACAAGTCTGTCCCCTGGAAGAAAAAAAAACCTCCCTCACTTCTCAGATAAAAAATTATTTGAATGCAGCATTTAAATGACGAGATAATTTAGTTTAAACAGGAAAAATCAATATGCAACAGCTTGTCTTTATGCCCTGACAGGTTTTATTTTCACCTTATGTTTAAGAGGGATGAGGTAAGAGATCTCTGTCAGCTATTGTGGCATGCATGGTTGGCACGCCATGGTGGAGGATGTGGCTTTTACAGCAAAACATAACCCTGATATTTCAGCCTCACTTGTGACCAGTAATTCTGCAAGCTGTAATCCTCAAATCATTACCGATGTATACAACATCTGGATGCTGAATGTCAATCAACTGTAAATGGGACTGTTAATGTCACTTGTGTCTGAGTAGATCATTATGAGGATTTTGTCCAGAGCTCTCCTGGCAGGCAGCCCGTGCCAATTTTACTCCTATTTTCCTGCACTAACGGATGAATGGAGGGCGAACAATGATGAGCTGTGTGTGTTTTAGACTGGAGGGAAGCAAAGCGGATGGATTTTCAAGTGATAAATTGTGTCATGCATTCTTTCTTGTGCCAAATCATAATGTAAATGCGGTCTCACTAATACCCCGAGCTACAAGCTGCAAGATGAGCTTCCAGAATCTTTGGCTTTACTCTTTATGGTTTCAGCTATATGTGAATGTTTGCTCAGTGGCTGTTGGCCAATCGGATTGCACCAAACTGTTAAAAGAAAAAATTGTATCATTTGAAGCAGATCTGGTCTGGAACTGCCTATTTAATTGAGCTCTGTTAAACCCTCAATAATAAACTTTAATCGTCTCCATATTAAATTTTAATCTTCTTCTTAATAGTTGTTGTTTTTTGAAAACCTTAACTTTTTAAGGTTTAAAACTAATCTATTATGTTACCCTTTAACAATTCAATAGAGCTGATGGGTAAAATGAACAATAGTTTTGCAAGTTCTAAAGTGTTTTTTTGCATGCTCTTATTGAAATGTCAGATTAACATGCTTATGCAGACAATGCCCCTCAGTGGCACATTGTGTTTTTGCCACGTTAACCATGCACTGAACTGCTTTGTCTGACTGCTGGGAAACATTGAAGCTATACTCTAGGCCCGGTTCACTAAAAATGAATTTGGATTGTGGATTCCTGGGGGTACCAATTAGTGAGACGAGCAGCCTTTTGGGGGGCCCTCTGTTAAAGAGGCGGACTTTAATGGTTCCATTTTAATGTCCTCATTACGAAACCCACCCTTGCCCTGATCATCCCACTGTCCTCTGAAATCTTTCTTTTTTTTTTTCACAAAAAAATAATTTGAAAATGTTTGTGTTAATGATTAATTACAAAAATCTGAAAATAACATTTTGTTTCACAGATTTTTTCACCACTCTACACCTGTGGTTTGAATTACACAAAGCTCAGGAGTACCAAAGATGGTGTTTTTACATACAGCAACAACAAAAAAGATCTTAGTTTCCTAATATGATTTTATTATGGTGCTTAGTAGATTACATTATTAAGCATATGATTAGGTCTCTAAATTCCTGGTTCCTGGCTTGTTTTAGGACCGTGCACGATTATATGCATTATCTTGCTTAAATTTATAAACGTTTTGTGAGTAGTATGCAGTTTATGGCAAACTGTATGGAGACATTTTCAATGAAAATAATTATGTTGAGTTTTCCTGAATATAAAAAAATTACTTTTCAAAAGAAATGTGAGTTGAGTGTTTTTTGTTTTTTTTTTTACAAACCATGGTCAACAATATCTGTACAAATATAGTTACTAATTTAGTTACTAGAATCCATTTTTGTAATTTTGTACAGTTAAAATATATCTCTATATGCTGGATTTGAAGGAAGGGAATTAAAACTAACTTTTTGTTTCCTCACTGTTAACTCGCTCTAACCTTTTTGCATTTATAATATTTTATCTTCTAATTCTGAGGATTTGCATACTTTTTTCAGTACTTGGTAAAGTCTTCCTTTTAAACAGGGATCTGACTTATGTTAACCTTATGTTTTTAACCCTAGTAAATGGATGTGCTCTTACCAGCCTCATCACACAAAATGTTTTGCTTGCATTCTGGGGTTAATAGTGGATTATCCCAAAATAAATATCTTGGATAAAAAAAAAAAAAACCCTCTCCTTTTTGCACAATAAGTTGGCTGGATGTTCCTGTGGTGTTTTCACCATTTGGTTTAGATAAATAGAGTACATTTTCACAAGGAAGCCATGTATTAAGGTTCTTTTCTATGGAAACACATCCATGGATATATACCACCAGGTAGTTGAAATTTATCATTCTTGGCTGTGATCAGAGCCCTAACCCCTACAGAATGATTATTTCATATATTAGCCATAACCTACAGTAAGTGTATGTAAACCTCTGACCTGTAATAAAGTAGATTCTCATTATTTTTGCACTTAAGCAAACTGAAACAGTTGATAATCCCAGCTGAACTAAAGCATGGGTTGGAGTGTTAATGTCTCTTTCATTCAGTAAGTAAATGTTTTGTTGACCGTAGATGGAGCAGCACTCTTACCAAGTTTCCGTACTCTAGTAATTATCTCAACAAGTCATCCAGATGCCAATGGAGCTAAGTTGTATCTGGGGAAGAAAGAATTAAGATGATGAAATGGAGCAAAACATTTTATTACTATGCACATCAAACTACTATTTCAGGTTGTGTATGTGTTGTGAAGCAATTCATGATAGATTTAGGTGCCCTTTTTTTTTTTCCAAAATAGGAGGTAACTGGAAAATCCTTTGGCTGCAGTGATTTCCGTGTTGCCTTAGAAAATGGTGTGTTGCTTTGCGAGTAAGTAATGACACTCAAGGAGCTTATTGTAAACTATGTAAGGTATTCTGTTGTTTTACTAGACATAGTAGTTGTTCAAAACTCTTTTGTTTACAAGAACTAGCATAAAGTTTTCCTTGCATATTTAAGCTGCTAAGTCTTCTATACCATTAAATTTAAGTCTTTTTTTTTTAATGTAAGCTAAGTATTTATCACAAAGTAAAAGTCAGTTTCGTTTATACTTAACTTTTTGTTGTACCCTCCCTTAATGTTTTTCTCTCTGCTGATTTTTGTCTTCCAAGCTTAATCAACCAGTTAAAACCTGGAATCATCAGACGAGTAAACAGGCTATCCACTCCCATTGCTGGACTGGTAAGTATTAGACTTCATCCATCTGGTACAAATTTCACTTCGTTTTACTCAAAATATAACAAAGCACCTGCCAGCCAGGAAGTGTTGACACGTGTGGTTTTCCTGTTAAGGCACCCAGACAGGGTATGTGAATTTGAATGAAGCTTAAACTGTATTTTTGGGTCAATTGTAAACCTGATTATAAAGTTTTATTTAACATTTAATACAAATGAGGGTTTATACAAATTTTTTTAGTTTTCTTTTTTTGACTCCGGGCTGCGTTTCAGTGCCTCAATGCCAGTGTACTTTTCCAAACTGCCCAGAGCAAATGCATCGGGGTATCGATTTTTAACCCTCCTGACAGAGGCCAATGACCTGCCAGACCGTAACAAAGGATGCAGGAGAGGTGGTTGTGATGTAATCTGCTGTTATAACGAAGGTCTCAAAGTGTTGTTCACAGCTTAATGGACCATATTGATGGTCTGCACATTTAATCATTTTAATTGTAACATTATTGGTGATCTTCAAGACGGATGTCGATGCTTCATCATCTTTTAGATTGTTGATTTAAGCAGTGCAGACTAACTTCATAGAGATGTTTATCAGCTATAAGTCCACCACTAGCTATGATTTTTAATGATGTGAGGTACAAAACTGACACTCTATATTTATATGGCTGGATAAATCACTATATATGTAAAAGGTGAAAGCTGAACAGTCAAAGAGGTATACAAAGTATTGAAAGGTTTGCCTTACATGCCTCCTAGATATCTACAAGCAAATCATTTTATGATCATTTTATGATGATGGTGCATGGAAAGATGAAGCTTATTCGCAGATTATCCTTTGTGAACCTCAGGAATGCTCAAAACAAGTATAGATGGCAAAGCACCTGCAGGTGTAAAATGGATCACAAGGCCTGCCAACTAAAGCAGAACCTTGAAATCTGCTCTTGCTGCAACCAGCAAATGCAGGGGTGCTACTACCAGAGGAATATGTTCATGGTTATCTGTGCCAGTCAAAACATGAGCTGCTATATCCTGCACAGCTTTAACAATGGGCAGGAAAAAAAAAAAAAAATCAGCTTTGAGAATGGTTGACTTTTATTCATGGTCTCTCATGTCTCGCCATGAAACCATGTTTGGTGTGTTTTTGTTTTTTTTCTGCTTAACACAGCACCTGATGGGTGCATTATGTTTTAGTTTAGGGTAGACTGTGGCAAGTGTTGGCTGAGTAGACGAATTGTCCCTTCAACCGGGAAAAAAAAGTTTAAATAATTTTATTGAAAAGTTTTTGACATCTTAGCTGAAGGATATTACGTTGGGTCTTTTTTTTTTCTTTTCATATTACTGGATGTTTTTTACAACTGTTTTACAGGACGAAAAGTTATCCGTCACACTCATAGGTGCTTAGGTGGATTTCTGTATAAGGGGCAGGTGTCTGGGGTAGTTCTGGAGCTTTACCCAAATTACGATGGACATTAGAGTCTGACGTTACCTCCCCATCCCTCTTCGATTTTTATTGTGATGTGAAACAGTTAGTAGTCATGAGTATTATAAAGTAAGAACATTTTTACAACCTTTAAATCAAACCTGGAATCTTTTTGTTTCATTTAGGTGCAACTATATGGTTTGGACCTGTTGAAAGTAATATGAAATGGAATGTAGGGGCTATACATTCAAAATAGATGTATGCCAAAAAACAATCAAACGTATAACAAGTTATCACACCAGTATATTTATATGAATTCCAACAATTAAAAACATTTTATAAAAATGAAACATATTTTCATGTACAGGTTTACTTTTTGTACTTAAATTGTGCCTTTCTGGGGTTTATTTTATAAGAATGTGTTTAACCTCTAGAAAAAGTACACTATATTTTTTTGCATGTGAATCCCAGATTGTTAATTCTTCTTTGCCTTTTCTAAAAATCAGTCCTACCTGTCTTTATCCATGCTGGGTCAGATCCTGACATTTGAAAAAGGAGGAATGCAGTCAAGACCGCAGAATAAAGTGTTAGCCTCGCTGCTTGCAGTTAGCAACAACTGTAACGACAGATCCTGTCACCTCAGGGCGTAGCTTTGGTGTCGCCCAGAGCTCCCCTACACTTCTGTAGTGCAGAAGAGTACCTGCGCATGTACACATTTATCGAGAAATACATTCCCCCGAAAAAACGAAACCGCTTTACTCGTCATTAAAGATAAAATATTTATCTTGCACATCTAAAAGTATATATAAATTTTAATTTTTCTGTCTGCCACTAAGAGCAATAATTATACAAAAAATGTATGTAAAAAAAAATTTGCATTTAAGATGAAAACAAATAAAAAAACATAAAAAAAATCCTCTTTGAGGAACCTTGTGCTATCCGATTACTAATTGAAAAAATAGTCGACAGATAAATTGATTTGCAAAATCGATTGGAATAAACAATTGTATTTCATAGACTTCTTGTTTTAAAACTATATATATATATTTTTTATGTCTTCAGGATAATGTGACAGTTTTCCTTAAAGCCTGTGGAAAGCTCGGATTAAACGAGTCGCAGTTGTTTCATCCTGGTGATCTTCAGGATCTGTCCACTCGGGTGACACTCAGGTGAAGTTTTAAAAACATCAATGTCCTTTGGAAGTAATGCCCTCTCCTTTGTCCGACATTAATGTAATTATATATAGTCTAGATATGTCTATGGCAACACCCAGAACTTTCTGTAATGGATGTTTTACAACCAGTTTGCTCATAAGGGAACAGGACCACTAGTTTGCATCAATAGGACTTCAGCCATGTCCATATAATTTAATTCGTATAAGTTGATACCCTGTTATCTTTTAAACCTGATAAGTTGCTGATTAGCACTAGTTACAAATGAGAAGTATTGATACCTTGCAGGCAGCTTTTGTTTTTCTGACTGCAAAGCATCTTTAAGCATCTTGGAAGAGTCATGGTACAGGATGAAAATAAGTGTTTTGTTTTTTTCCAGGCGTGATGAAAGCCAGAGGAGACTCAAGAATGTAAGTGTATGTTCTCTGTATTCTTAATCTCAATGTATATAGGCCTTTTGCATGTTATGATCCTGATGAAGTGGATAGTCAGTAGTTCAGCAGTGCCTCTACACTCTAGACTAATTCTCGTGTGTCATGACAACTTTAAAGACAGAAAAATGTTTGCTTTTCAAACTAGTTTACCTAGTTTTGCATGCTATCGCTATGTCCAGAGATTAGGACTTCTACATATTTGGTGACACAATGGTAAGCTATAAAAGGTAATGTCTTCTGACTCTTGATTTGCCTGACGTTAGTTTTTGCCTTCTTAAAAATGAAGTCCCTCAAATTGCCTTGTCTTTGCCGATTGGCCGCCTGCTCCGCTGGTTGCATCGAGGTTGAAAATGAAATCACATGTGCCTCTGGGCCACCGTAATTTGGTCCGGCTTACTTGTAAACGCACAGCCTGCCAAATATTGAAAGTGCAATATCATTGCCATTACACATTCAGTGATAAAATGCCACACGGGACGGATAGGGAGATGGTAATTTAAGAAGGGGGATGCCATCCCCCCTCAACTAAAGTACTGGGAATAGTTATCCGGAAAGTCAAATTTTATCTTGCATAGTTTATATATGTCCTTTTTTGTTCCTTTGAAATTAGCATTATAGAGTCATGTTGTAAAATGGATATTCTAAAGATTTTCAAATACAGACCTGCTGTATTACAACCAAACAAAAAATATCCATACATGGTTATTTCATTTCATTATCTATATAGATCTGTGATAGCCCAGGCCCAATGCCTGTCATGAATGTTGTCGTTTTGCATACAGCATCAGATAGCATCAAAAAATTATAATAGCCAAATTTTTCTTAAACAACATGACAATTGTATAGAGGCTATTAAAATGTTTATCAGATTAAGTTAAACGGTTTTAACCTTTTTTTTTTTTTTTGTTAAAACCTTGAATTGTTGACAGAGAAATGTCTATTTGTACTAAGCTGTGTTTTGCTTTTTGCTTTTTTTTTGTCTGAATTGGCAAACTATTTAGCAGATGAAAATATCCCATTTGGCATGTGTACTTTATTTTCAAATGTTTGCAATTTTAGGTTCTTATTACAATCTATTGGCTGGGTCGCAAGGCTCAACTTGACACACTCTACAGTGGTCCTCAGCTTAATTTCAAGGCTTTTGAGGGGCTTTTAGGTTTGGCCTTGTCCAAGGTAAGCTGGCTGTTCAACCATGGTGTTTTTTATTTTATTTTTTCATTTTCAGTCCTGTTTTTGTTACTGATCCATATTAACCTTTCCTTTTAAAACCAGGCTCTTGAAGAGGGCACTAATGCATTTGTAAAAGATGGGAGTTACAAGGAGTGCTTGCACTCTGAGGGAGAGGAAAGTCTGCAAACAAGACAGACTTATAATAGAGGAAACTCTTTAGTTGGCTTTGACTGTGTGGACCCCAAAGCTGTCTGTCTACATGAAGAAGGTACATATTTGTACTATTAAATGTCCTTGTCAATAAACTGCTGTATAACTCTAACCACTAAAATATATATTGCGAGCTGTAAGAATGTATTTCTAGAGACTTTAAGCAGGACTATGGTCTTTTTGTAGCTATTGATGTTCTTTTTGATGCAAACTATGTTAATTTTATTTTTGTTGAATGTACTAGTATACTGCCAACATTTTTAATTTGATTAAAAAAGTATCCACAAGTGTTCAGTCATTTCATAACCCAGTTGCTGTTTGTTTAATTTGGTATTGGAAAAATATGTGCATGTGGCTGCCTCTGGCTGGATGCACGTCAGTGTTTCATTGTGACAAGTTCCACACTCTGGTGATAAATGTTTGTGTAATGGGAAGCAGTATAATGCCTTTATGGATGCACCCCAGAGGCTTTCTGAACACAGTCCTCATGCAAAGTTTTCTCTCTTCTTCTTGGTTGGGAGCCTGTTTTGTTTCACTTAAAAAAAAAATACATTTTCACTTGTTTTCTTAACTGTACTTTCTGTTTTTAAAACTTTACTGTTCATAAAATACCCCCCAGGTTTTGAAAGTGACGCAGAAGCAGAGCAGGTGTACAAGATGGACAGTACGAAGGTCTCAGCCCAGCAGAGCAAAGGACATGTCCAACCACCGCTTGGTAGAAAACAGGGACGGTCGGAAAAGGCAGCGGATCATACGAGCCAACTTCCAAGGTAACATCAATGTGTTTGCTGCTTTTAACAGAAAGTTCACACACTACTACAAACTTGCTTATCTCCAGCTGACCTTGCACCTGAGAACAGCTGCAGTTATTTACATTCCTCTGCACTGTCAGTGGTGCATTTGTTATTTTTTTTAGTGCGTATTTAAACAAACTGTGTATGCAGACATTTGGTCTTTTCAGAATTCCTTGGAAATTTGTTTTGTATTTTGTATCATTCAATTTCTATGGATGCCTGATATAACTGCATTAAAATTGGCTTATTTCTTGTTTTCTAGCATGCATGTCCTTTGCTAACAACTCATGCTTATTTATTTTCAAGTTGACTGTACTCGGAGGGGGGTTGTCCAAATAGTGTTTGTCTATATAATGGTGATGCAGCTAGGACTGTCCCAATACAATTTTCTATCAGAGATACGATACTGACATTGCAGCTCTAGACAACTGACGTATACAAATACTGACATTGACATTAATCATATTTGCTTTGACTAATTATGTAGAAGGTTAGGTTTTGAAAAAGTGGTATTACTAAAACGGAGAACAATAGGTATGAGAGCCACTGACCCATGTATTATTAACCAATGGGTTACAGAAACTTAAAATGGAAGCAGTCTTTCTATCAGCATGCAGATATCAGATTTTGGATATTGGCCAATATCTGGCAAATATCGTATCAATGTTAATATCTGATTGGGTTTTTCATAGAGGAAGCATGGGATAATGGTGGTGTTTAATTGAACCAGAGAAGTTTGGATTTTGTTTGCGCCATTGAAAGTGTAGGAAAGAAACTGACACATCAGTTAAATTTTTTATTTTTTATTATCCTTTTTGTTACATTTACAAAGTAGCAGAATTCCTTGGCCCTTTTCTTTCTTTTTTTTTTTTTCTTTTTAAGGATTCGGTACTGTTATTTTTGGATAATTGATAGTTGTTGTTTGCTTTTATATTGTGGATTAATCAGGGATCTTATGGAATGGGGGTTTCCGAAATCAAGCTTATTTGTTCTAGCTTTTCCTGCTTCTTGAAAGCAGTCTCAAATGTATTAAACATTTTAGATTTAGTAGCAATATAACAGATGGAGCTGGTGTTCATTATGTGGTTTATTACAAAATGCTGGCTAAAACTTAACCTTAACCCAAGCTGTTTTTTGTTTGTTCCCTCTAAATGTCAAAGCATCTGTGCCACAATGAAGTTTAAACGAGGCTGAACTTGGCTGCAAAGCAAAAACTTATATGGTCGTTGCACATGGGCTCTGTGAGGAAAGTTTTAATATTTTACAATTCTCATCCATTTCTGATGTTTACTTTTTTTTTTTTTTTTTTTTAAGATGCATTTTCTATTGTCCTTACAGACACTATTAACTATTTTGCATTTGAATGCCAGTTATAGTTGTATTGTTCCATAACTACACAGTCCTAATGGCTAAAAAAATACCAGAAAATTCAATTTTAGAAAGGATCTGACTGAAAAGAATAGATTCTTAATCTTGAGAACAAGTATTTGTGAGAATTGGCAGCAGAGACATTGATCTGAGATCTGTACTTATGGTCAATAGTCTAAATACGTTTTAAATCAAATTATTCAGTGATCAGCATAACAGTGGAGTAAAAAAAAAAAAAAAAAAAAAACTGTCAATCTTGTCAATTATTGAAAAACAAGTTTTTCAATAAAAGGTTTTTACACTTTGAGGTTTTTCAGTTGTATCCAAATTCTTATATTTTGCAAACCTGCAATGGAAACACTTTTGTCTTATGTGAGTCACTTGATCTGCCTGAGACCTTCCTGCCTTGTAAAAAGATGTAGTTGGAAGATGATGGCACAGCATATTTGATTTTTATGAGGAAATTGACTTTTTTTTTTTTTTTTTTTTTTTTTTTTTTTTTTACATTTGGTTTGTGATGATTGGCATGATCACAACTAGAGCTTTTGGCTGAAATAGGGATGCATCTCATGATACATACACTGCTGGTATGTTGTTTTTGGGAGTTGTTGTGTGGGGGGAAGGGGGAGACTGTGCAATTATATATTTTTTTTTTTTTTTTTTTTTTTTTTTTTTCATTTAATGGAAATAATGCAATGATAAATTTTATTTTCAAAATTGGCAGAATATCCACACAGTTTTGGGTGCATTTGTCACAGAAACACAGCCAGACTGTCTGTCAGACTTCTGTCAAGTCGGCAGTCTTCCTGATTGTGTGGCCGAGTCCTGACTGACTCAAAGTGAAAGATCATTGCAATATTCAGGGAACCTTTCCAGGAGTATTAAATGGATTGCATGATCAGGGTGTGACACCACCAGTCTCCAGTAATGCTTTTACAGTTGTCTAATTGCACTATTTTTACACATAATCTCATTAACTTTTACATCTCTAATTTACTTTTGCTTGCTAAACATAGCTTCTAACATAAGCAGTGAATTGAAAAAGGATCTAGGCAGTGATCAGTCTTGGGTATTTTATTTTTTTTACTGCAGTGTTGTTGATACAGTTTTGTCCCATCAACCACTCTTCACTGGGTTTCCCGCTTGGAGCAGAGAAGAAATTAAAGAACTTTCACCTGAAGCCCAAAACGAGGATGACTCGGAAGATAATTTTAGTGAGGCAGACCCTGTCCAAGATGATTTTTATTTACGAAGACTGAAGCAGACTTTACATCAGACCTCCTTCAATCGCAATTATGATCGCTTTTTGCCTCGATACTGGACCCCTGAAGAAGAGATTCATGTCCACAGGATCTACCTTGGCTCCCAGAAACGGCCCTGGTATCGTAAAATGCTTGGCCTAAGGTCTGTCTTTATCCTACTAAATTAATACAAGGCTAAGCTTTAGCAACACTTCAGTGTTGCGTACAGTAGGTGCTTGGAAAGTGTGCTTAGCCCCTGATCCTTTTCAGATTTTCTTGCTAAAGCAACACATCCAGTGTATTCCATTGGGATATTATATAACAGAGCAGCACCAAGGTCTACTTAATTGTGCGAAGATGTTCAATTTAAATTAAAGGGCTCAACATATGCTTTTATATCCCTTTTAAACTTGTATACTTAAGTCAAATCTGATGCATCTATTTTGATTTGTCTGCTTATTAGTTAATGCAGTATATCTGCATGTAACTAAGTATCTTTATGAAAAGAGCAGTTCTCTGTGAAGCTTGGAGATTTGCTATTAAACCTAAATGAACCAAAAGCACATGGTCCAGAGAAAAAGTAGTTGGACATGTTAAACCAAATTTGGTGTATAAAGTGATTAGATGCTTAGAACATCTCATCAACTGCTGGTCTGTTAATAATTTTGCCAATTTTTCCATTAAAGCAACTGGATTTAAAGTTCCAGATTTGTTTTTACACTGGTTATAGGAATCACAGGGAATTGGTCGTTGTGGTGTTCCCGTCACTTGAGATTCAGCCTTAGGAAAAACTGCACAACAATGTCAGTCCAACAAGTGGCAGTAATAACACGCGGCCGGGTTTCCTTTGACTTCCAGCTTCAGATCTATGCATCTGAAAACTGTATTTCCTACTGTATGTTTAGTGTGTTCCTTGAATTTGAACCTCTAGGTGTCAATATTTAATACAAACTTGTATAAAAACATGTTAAAATTAATTTGTCAAAACAATTAAAGGGGGGTTGACAGACTAACAGGTGGATGTTACATCTGCGGTTAGACAGGAGATATCCCTACAAAGCCTGGTTCAGACAGCAGCAACACTGGATAAACATCATGGCGCTTATGGTGATGGAAATGGTATACGACGTCTACAAACTTACAAAGGTCAGTTTAAGTGGTGGGCTCCCTACACTCACCAGCTTCACATGGAGAGCGATAGAACCAGGAAGGCGCCTTGTAAGTCTGTAGGAGGTGCGCAGGTACAGTAGGAGAATCTGAGATGTATCAGTGGTGCACTTAACAAATCTGGCCTGTCTTGAATAGGAAGAAGGTATGCAATCTTGTTAAGTGGGTGTGAGTCAGTATAAAATTCTGCACATCAGCCTAAAACAAAAACATACCATGCCTTTTAAACATGGTGGTGGCAGCATCATGCTACATGGATGCTTATCTTCAGCAATGACCAAAAGCTGGTCAGATCTTGTAATAAACTAAGATTGAAGCTACACAAGTTTTGAGACTAGTGGTGTTGCAGCTTTCCACAAAAGTATGTGGTCATCTGTTCATTCATGATTTGTTTGTTCAATTTAACATTTGTTACAATTCTGATCCTCAAGCTACATGACAAAAGTAGTCATGACCGTATACGACATGGCGTCTGTGTGCAGCTGCCTCGCGCCTGTCAGCATGCCACTGTGCAGCTGTAACTGCAATGTCGCTTGCCACCATCTGTGTGGAGTCCCTTGACTAATATACAATTCAGGACATTTAGCAAATATGTTTTCATTGTTCTTTTAAAATTATTTAAGTGAAAGAAGGTCTGCTTGTTTTAGCCAATCACCTAAACTACAGCATAATTCTAAAACGTAACTAATTTACTTGATAAAAGATGTTAAAGTAGTTCTTACATGTGCACTGTTAAAGATGTTTATTCCCTTTTGATAATGTTCATGGTCTCGTTGAGTGAACATTATCTGAAAAGAAGAAGGCATTTGGTTGTATTCTACTTATACATTCTTTTGGCTGTAAACAAGTCTAAAAAGTCATTAAACTTCAAAATTTCAATCCAGGTTACAATTTTTGATTATTTTGTGTTGGTCTTTCTCATTAAATCCCAATTGAATACTGTGTTGTGACAAAATGTGGAAAGGTTCATTACTTTTAAATTACACTACAAGCTTATATGAAAATTGTTTTAACAAATAGGAAATGATTGCCTTTATAAATTAATTTGTAATTGTCAAGTATTAAGTCTTCAAGCATTTTCCATGTAATAACCCTCTGGCAAAAAAGATGTACTTAAAATTGCATGAGAAGCTATGCCACTAAAAATAAGCTGTAGTTTGCCTACTACATATAATCAGCTAGTTATGGAATGTGAACATAACCCAAAGCAGACTCTGCTCTGTTTTTGTAAATATGTTTTTTTTCAACAACAAATTGTTTTTAGAATAATTTCATGCAACATATTTTGTGTCTTTGATTGTAGCCAGAAAACTTTGCATTTTGCTGAAGAGTTGGAGAACACTTCCAGGAGTCTGCCACCTCATATGGTGCAAGATGTATCTGCCACTTCAGGAATACATCCTAACGCCGTTGAAGAAACCTTTTGCAAACCCGAGATTTGACACTAATTGACACCCACATTTGTGATTTAACACTAGATTGAACATCTGGCTTCATCTTTCCCATGCTTATTATTTTTGCATTCTTATGACGTATATTCCGATGGTGCGTGTGTTTTTGTTCCCCCCCGTTTGTAAAACTAAGATTTGACCGTTTTGTGCTGTAGTATGTTATGGAACATTTGCTCTCTCCATTTATGGCACTGATGTAAGGATGTTTTACCAGCATGTTGATGAAAAGACTCATTTGTTAGTAACTGCTAAACATGAATCATGCATTGCCTCATCTGTGCAGCCATAATAGAAACATGTTAAACCTAACAGCTTTATGTCAGCACTCTCTGCAGTTTGCTGTGGTCTTATATAGCTGTGGAAATAAATTTTCAGTGGGCTAACAAACTGTCAGACTAATTCATGTCTGCTTGATGTTAAACCGGTTCATTTCTCCATCATATTTGGCTTCTAAATTTTTGTTGTAGTGTATACAACTTCTTCTTCCAGATCTCTTATTTTAGGTTTTCTTTTAAGAAATGGCTATCTCAGATGGGTACAAATTATTCACATTTTTTTTTTCTGGTCCTGTAGAGCATGTCAGATTCAGTCTGAGACACCAGTTCAGGTCAACCCTGGCTGGATTTGGTGAGTCAAAAAGCGCTGTTATTCAAGCAAATGTTTAGTTTTTTGTTGTTGTTGCTGCTTCATGTTGGTGTTTTTTTTTCTCCCATCTGTTAAATGTTCCTTGCTTCTCAAAATGGAGTTCCAGGGTTGCATCCCCGTTCATTTTCCAGACGGCAGGATCTATGCCACTTCAGCATTGTTTTTGTAATCGGTCTGTCTTCCTAAAATTAACTTGTGCCACTGTCTTATTACACCACCTGGTAAACGCTACTGTAGCTTATTTCGTTTTCACATCTGCCTTACTCTATTGCTTACAGCCATGCTATAACTTGTTACTGTACAAGTTATAGCTGTTATGATTTGCAGAAGACATCTGTTAAGTGCTCAGTAGCTGATTGCAATGCTTCTCCCTTCCTGCACTCTGCTACCCATTTATCATGTTCGTATGCTCAGCATGCTTTTACAGCTGGCATAGCTGTGATCTGTTGTCATTAAGTGCTGCTATCAACTATGCTGATTATGCTGGCACTTATTCTCATGTAAGAAAAATATATCATTCTTGCTCTTCTGCATCATCTTGATCACTTTTTATTCACTTGTAAACATGTTAATATGATGCAGTGGCACAGAAATGAAAGACCGACTAGGAAACCTTATATGAACATCTCTCTAAAATACTCTAACTTTGTCTCAGGTGTGCATTTGCTTTTCCTGGGCAGCACAGCAACCAATATTGTTTTCATTCATCAATATTTCAACATTCTCTCTCTTTTTGTCTCTCTGAACTAGGAGCAAATCCCTCAGTGACATCCCTATGGTGTACCCCGTGCGTAAAGTTTCAAATGGAAATGCCATTTCTGATAAAGGCCAAGACACCAGGGACTGGAATCAAGAAATTGAAAGAAACTGTAGTGCTGTTGCCAGGGACAGTGAAGTTCAGTGGCAGGATGTAAGTCCATTTTGACAAAGTGTCTCATTATATGGTCTGTATTTGCAGTTTCATGTATTACAAAGTCTAATTTTGCCTTTTATCACCCTGGACGAACAAAACTGTTGAATTTTTAAAAGGTTAGTTGGAAGTAAACCCATTTGAATATCTGTTTTACAACAAAGTCCTGTGTACCTCTTAAGAGATTAACTTAAATTTAGTCTTCCCAAGGAGATGCCATATAGAATACCCCCGAGGTTTCACAAATACTAGTCATATTGCAAATAGTAGTTGATTGCAGTGAGAATCAAATAAGGTGTTGACTTTAGATTCTGCTTTAGGATTTGACGAGGTGGAAGAATCGACGCAGGAGCACCAAGTCTGAACTGTACAGGAGGTCATTTGAAAGGGAGCATATCTTTAAAGAGATGACCAATGGGGCTGTGAGAAATTATGAGGGTAATGAAGCACCAGGAGGGCCTATAAAGAGGTATGTGAATGGTACATTAAGATAGAAAACCTTATGTATAAAAGGAAAACTAGAAAGGAAATATGCAACTTGGAAGGCAAATCGACACTATTGATGATTTTATTTTCTTTGTCCTTTATTTAGAGATCAGTCACCATGGCGGCACAGCTCCTTACCACGTCCTTATTCCGTTTCTCCATCCAAACCTCTGAGTTTTGCTCTCAGGCCACATACAGAAGCAATTTCCACCAGCAGCTATGCCACTGACACCCCTTTCAGACCCCAAAGCTATTCACAGGTAAGGTTACTTACCTGTAAATAGTTCTAGCTTAACTTTTATCTGAACAAAGGTTTATTCTACAACTATTCTAAGTATTTTTAACATCACCAGATTTAAGGGACAGTCTTTCAAAAACTGTTTCTCCATGTCTGTACAGGAGTGTCACCAGGGAGCCAGTTCTAAATCTGGTGGGTCCATCATCGGAGGGGAGCCTGCCCTTGCCTCCTTAGCTTCAGATGGAAGAGCTGGAGTTACTACACCTTCTCTACACCAAGCTTTCACCTCTCAGACCCAAGTGAAAGCCCTAGGCAGCCAGTCTACCTTTCATTCCAGTCTCGGACAGGTGCAACCACAAAGATGTTTGCCAAACCAGATCTCCTCTTCTTTTAACATCATACAGCCTGAACTGTTTGACTCTGAAGAATCCGCTACAACCTGCAATTCTGCTTCATACATGCATTCCTTCAGCACTGATCTGAAAGGGAAAACTTTTTCTCCAAATGTAGTTAGTCATTCAGGAGTTGATGTTACTGATGATTTGATCAAGAAATCTGATGGAATTCCAAAATCATATCCAAATTCAGCTGAAGATGGAAGGGTCTGTAGACAGGAGTCTGCAAGGCTTTCCAAGTATTTGTCCAGAAATGCAACATGGTCCAGCTCTGCCAGTCTTCCTCGTGGGTACCGTCGGTCTGAGGGTTCCACTCGTCTCTCCACTCCGATCACAGCCAGACCCTTCGAGGCAAAGCCATCCGGAATATCCACACTACCAAAACAACACAATGTGAGTTCACACTCTACGATTAAAAAAAAAAAGTGTCTCTGTGCTAAATTAAGTGTGTGTATATTATATTAAATTCTTTATTTTCTTTGACATTATTTTACAATTGGTAAGATGGCTTTATTTACCCTGAAAAGGTCCATAGTTGTAAAGAGATTGCATTTCTGAGTTTAGCAGTAGACTTGAATGGGCGAGTTGTCCACATGAAAAAAATATATAATTAATCTGAATATGCAAAACAGCATTTGGTAAATGCAGTATAATGGTTTGGGATGAAAACTTCAGACTAGAACATTTGGCTTGCTGTCACTGCAAAATGTTTTTTCGACAGGATGACATTCTTCAACTAGTAGGAAACTCCACATCTCTGCTCCTATGGATGATACGGCTTAGCCCCCATAGAGCAGGATTTACCATATACATTCCCAGAATTTCCTAGTTAAGTGGATGGAATAACCTGCGTGCTGTCCTGACAAAAACACTTGCTGGATCCCCTTGGATGAGCTGTTAAGTAAGAAATGCAATAACACTGGCTGCCGTCTATTAGCTGAAGAATCTGACGTTGTTCCACAAACGTTTAAGGAAAAGCTGCTGACCAGTACACGTTGCTACACTATTGGTGCTCGATTGTTTAGCCTAATATTGATTCTGCTGGTTACTGCATGAATAGAATACACTGCTCAAAAAAATAAAGGGAACATGTAAACAACACGATATAACTTAAATTAAATCAAACCTCTGAAATCAAACTTTCCACTTAGGGAGCAACACTGATTGACAACATTGATTGACAATCAATTTCGCATGCTGTTCTACAAACGGAATGGACAATTGGTGGAAATTGGCAGTTGGCAAGATGCACTGAATAAAGGAGTTGTTCTGCAGGTGGGGACCACAGACCACCTGTCACTACCTATGCTTTTTGGCTGATGTTTTGGTCCCTTTTGAATGTAGGTGGTGCTCTCACATTTGTGGTATCACGAGAGGGACAACCCACACAAGTGGCTCAGGTAATGTAGCTCATCCAGGATGGCATATCAAGGCGAGCTGTGGTAGGAAGGTTTGCTGTGTCTGTCAGCATATTGTCCAGAGGCTAGAGGTGCCACCAGGAGACAAGCCAGAACACCAATAGACGTGGAGGACGCCGTAGGAGGGCAACGACCCAGCAGCAGGACTGCTACCTCTACCTTTGTCCAAGGAGGAACAGGAGGAGCACTGCCGGAGCTCTGCAAAATGACATCTAGATGGTCAAAAATGTTCATGTGTCTGCACAAACAGAAATTGACTCCATGAGGATGGTATGAGGGCATCGCATCCATAGCTGAGGGTTGTTCTCACAGTCCAACACTGTGCAGTACTGAAGACACCATGGAGAGCAATATGCAGCCTAAAACATCCTTCAGTTTGGCAGTGGGTCAGTAATGGTGTGGGGATTTCTTAGAGAGTTGTACATGCTTCAGTGCACCTAGTCAGAGGTAGCATAACTGCCATTAGTTACCAAGATGAGGTTCACAGACCCATAGTGAGACCATATGCTGGTGCGGTTGGCCCTTGGTTCCTCCTAATAAATATGGATGGAGTTTGTCACCAGTTCCTGCAAGATGAAGACCTTGAAGCTATGGATTAGCCCACCTGTTCCCCAGACCTCAGTATGATTTAGCACATCTAGGACCTCATGTATTGATCCATCCACCAATGTCACATTGCACCACAGACTGTCTGGGAGTTGGCGGATTCTTTAATCCAGGTCTGGTGGGGACATCCCTCAGGACACAATCTGCTGCTGATTAGGTCATCAGGAGCATGTCCTGCCATTGTAGGAAGGTCATACAGGCACATAGAGGGAACAAACAATACAGAGCCTACAACTGACCTCTTTAAGGACATTACATCAAAGATAGATCAGCCTGTAGTGTGTTTTTCCACTTTAAGTCTGTGACTCCTAATCCTGGCCTATTTATTTCAGCAGTGTAATAAATTGACATTGTTGGGGTACTTTAGAAATGTAGTCATCCAATCCAATAAATGGCACCCAAAAAAAAGTTTGTCTTAATGCTAAGAGACTTATGCTACCAAGATTTTTGTGACTATTTCTGCTATATATTATCTTATAGTATATTTTGTGTGGTATTCATTGTCCTAATGAATTAGGAAAAGTAGAACCTGAGCTGTCACTTTTTGTTAAGTGGAAAATCAAAAGAAATATAGAATTTTTTTTTTTTTTACATTTTTAAACCTAATGTGTATGCTTTCTATAAATGTGCTTGTTTCGGTGTGTGGTCATGTTTGTTATCCTTAGGTTGACAGTCTGAGTTTAATTGTAAACACTGGGGATTCCCATTCCTCAACGAAACCAGCTCTGAAAAGGCAGACTGCAGCAGCGCATCTGCGGGGTCAGTATCAGGCCTCGGTTAGGCAGAAGAAGGCTAACCAGGTGAGGCAGAATGCCGCAGGACAGCGAAAGGAAGTGAATGATCAAACCTTCCCTCAGACTTATACAAAATCATCTTCCAACAACAAAAGCTCTGTTCTTGCATCTAATGCAAGTACAGTCTTAAAGGTATGTTTTTGTCTTAGGTAAAAGTGAAATGTATTTCAGTCTGCACTGTGCACTGAAAATGTTTTCTATAATTGTCAAGATCCTATTCATCTATTTACAACAAGAATAGCTTCCACCTGCTGAGACAAATTAAGCTGATCTTTTAATGCTTCCCCTTAATTGCATAATCCGCTGTAAAGTACTTGTTTGTTCACTGTTTGAAGAGACGTGCACTGAAATTAAATGCTTACAAGTGAAATTGGTGCAAAATATTTTATTAAGCATGAAGGCATCTTACTAAAATATTTTAATGGCTAAAAAGATAATGTATCAAAAACAGTCCTACCAAAAGATTGAAATTGACTGCAACTTTTCAGATGGTAGGTTTTACATCATGAAGATATAAATGCTGATTTTAAATTGGTACACTATATGTAAGTGAAGCACCTTAACAGAACAGTTTCCCTTTATATCCTTTGCAAGTGTAAATTGTTAGTTATTTTCATTCATAATTTAAAATGTGCTTCATTATTGATTGCAGGGCTTCATTTTAGTTGACAGTCCTATAAAATAACTGATGTTAATGTGCATATTGTCATTATGTACATGGGAAGGTAGTGGTAATGGTTTTCAGTTAGTGGGACCCTGAAAAATTTACTGCTGTATATTGAAATAAATAGGGTCAATTATTTGGAATGAAATTTAATCTTTTCAGATCTTAAACAATCACCTGTCATCTAACTTCAACAAATCAAAAAGCATTCAAATCTTTAAAGCCTAAAGGTGGAGGTAATGTTCTTTAATGTCATTTAAAATTTGGCCAGCTGGTGCCACTAAACGATGTCTTTGCCAGAGAAATGCTATTAAACACTGTTAAAAGCTTGACAGCAGTTCTTTTAATCCTTGCTATGCCTCCTTAACTGTTGTGGTTTAATGGTACCTAAGTGGATAATTATGTCCACTAACTTTGAATCTCGAGGCATCTTATTTCTATTCTTTTTAATAAACACATTTTAGCATCTTTAGACGGTAAAGTGTCTTATTTTCCCTACTGTAGGCCCATAACACTAATGGAGAAGCCTAATAACTTAGAAAGTCATTATGCACCAAGAATACTGCAACTGGAGGCAGAAATTTCAATTGTGTTCAAATGACGTTTGTATATTCACCTACTTTCTTGTATATTTAGCTTTTTTTTACATTTAGGGATGCATTTTATTTATTCTATGTACCCATAATAATTTTGTTTGAGTTTTAAAAACAAATACACATCATCATTATTATTACGTTCCTCCATTCATCCCTATACTGCATACATTGTGTTAGCCTTATGTAGGAAGGGAAAGAATAACTTAATCGGTTTGTTACTGACTTGCTACCGCAGCTGGTCACTTGAATTAAGGTAATATCCCTTAACAGTTTTTGCTTGTGCAACACTGTTGTTCAAATAAAGTGTTACAAATGACCACTAATTGGGTTGTTGGGTTTGTTATAATCATAGATTTCTTTTAAGCTACATCATTGGTTTGCAGACTTTGTTCTAAAAGGCTTATTTTTTTTTGTATAATTTAATTCCTAATAAGATGCAGATTAGATATTGGGTAGCAAACATTTCATGACAAAGCAAATTAATCATAACCAAATTGATCTAGTGGTCAAGAATCATTGAAGAAATGTATGGGGGGAAAAAGACTGTTCAGGGTATCCATTACTGCACTAGTGTAAGAGGTTTCTTATTTCTACCTGAAAGCACAGGACCTCGGGTTACAGGTGTCACCTTTACCTACGTGAGCATGTGTTTTTAGGTTGATCACAGTGACATGAGAGTGAGCCTGACTCTGAAACCAAACAGCGTCCCAGACTTTGGCTTCCAAACTCACTGGGACTGCACAGGGGTGAGAATAAAAAGCATTCAACCAGGTAAGACTTTAAAATGTATCCTCACTTGCTTAATAATTGTTTCTAGAATAGGGCAGGGTGAATTTTTTATTTTTATTTTTTTACTTGTCACAAATATTAATTCGCCACCCCCAACAAAGAAGGCAATCTTATTTTAAAGAACATCTAGTTGTGAAACATGGTTTTAAAACAGTCTGAAATGAAAATATATGGCTAATTTTGTGTAGCTAGTGATTTTATATTTACTTCAGCTCTGTTTATAATTAAACATCTAATAACTAATGTTATGGAGATTCAAAATGTGCATTGGTGAGGAAAAATCAATATTTTCCAATTTTATTTTATAAAAAATTATTTTATTGATTAATCCCCCAGCCATATTCTAAAACAATACATTTGTTGTCAATTGGCATTAAGCCTAGACTATTTTAATTTGATAATCCTCATCCTAAAACTTTGTTCTAACTTCTGTGGTAAATGCCAACCTCAGGACACAACTATTTGCTAAAGATAAATTTTTATTAGACGAGCCTCTATAAATATGTTAGTTCCGACAAGGGCACAACATATTTGAGGACACATACAGTAGGCAAAACTGAGGGTCAGAAAAATATAGGTTATTTTAAAACTCTTGTGAACTTTTCTTTCGGTTCAGCTGCTTTTGATGTTGTGTAGAGAAAAAAAAAGAGAATTGAATATACCCCCCCTTCAAAAAAAAAAAAAAAGTATTAACAGAAAGTCGGACCAGAACAGCGGATCAAAAAGAACAAAATGGTACAACTGGGGGCCAACCCTATACAGGGCAGTCCAAAGCCCTTACTAGTACCAGATTATAGCAAAAAATTATCTACTGCAAAAAAAGAATCAAACAGGAGAACCGATAACACCAGGCCAAAATCACAACTAAAACAAAGTCTAGCAAAAATGCCGAATGGCAAGCCGGGGATGTCAGCTGCGGCCTACAGCTAATAGAGACGGGCCCACCTTTTCAGGACGCATCCTCGGTGGTGGTGATGGAGGAGCGAGAAGAAGAGCAGTAGAGTCCATCCCAAACATTTCCAAACCCAACCTATCAATAAGCGGTCCTACAAAAACTAATTAACGAGGCCAAATTAATTACAAAAAGGAAGTAGGTAAACTCCAAAGTATACTAAACAAAAAAATAATTCAACTAAAGTCCATACTAAACAATCTAGAAAGAAAGATAAACAAAAATACTTGTATGCCTAAAGCACATAACAGCATTAAAACTTCCAAATGTGTATCTAATGTGTATTTAAAAACTCAACCATGAAAAATAAGATGCTACACAGGTACCACTTGCTGTATATGTTGCCCAATAGCTTGGTTACTCGCCTACTTGTTAAAGTTGAGAAGTGAGCTGCTGTGGCTTCATTTCAACTATAGTCAAAATGTTCTTTAAACTGATATCTGACTTTTTTTTTTGCTCCTCTTCCTTATATTCATCCTACAGGCAGTCCAGCAGAGCACTGCCAGCTCTGTGTGGATGATGAGATTGTGGCAGTTGATGGAGTTGCTGTTGCACATATGACCTACAGTCAGTGGAAGGATAAAATGGCATCCTCCCTGGATTCTGGCAGTTTAACAATGGACATTCGGCGTCATGGCATCAAGGGTAATAAAAAGTGACAGCAATGGTGGTGATGATGATTACTACAGAAGTTGTCCCAATTTTTTGATTCAGAAATTGTTAAAACACATTTTTTTTTTTTTTTTTCCAGATTGGAGCACGAATAAAGGAAGTAATGACATCCAGCCAGGACACAGCATGTTGACCCTTAATCTGACTTCTACGGCACCCATTTTAATAGGCCGCTCCGATCACCATGCCAACAGTCCAGCCTCTGCAGAAATGGCAGACACACAAGAATCTCAACTTAATGGGCAGACAGACAATGTAGGTCTATTCTGACAATCTCATCTCACAATTTAGCCTTTAAACTTTGCCATTTTTTCCACTTGCTGTGATTGTTCCTTCATCCTCCTAGGTAACGCAAGAAAAAGTCATCGGTGGGCCCTTCTCTGTTAACACAACCAAGGCTAGATGTAAAGGTAGCTATTTCTACATAAATAATTTCGAATGCAGACTCATTCTCCTTTATAATTCAGTCTTTCTTTCCATGTAGAAAATGTTAGTATAACTAGAGAAAATCAAAAAAGGAGGAAAGAGTTTTTCACACAGAAAGGTAAAATTAGTTCTTGTTTGTACAGCTTGGAAGGCTTTTGCTATGCTTTGCTAGATTTAGTCAAAATAAATACACATTTCCTTAATTGCTTTTTGTTTACTTAAATGGCTACTTTGACTGAATTGATTTAGGAAGTCAGAATTCTTCCAAAAGGGCATAATAATATTCATACGAGCAGTTTCATTTAAAGTGCACACATAAACTACTCTCCACGCACCTTTTTATGTTGTATATTCTCTCTGACTTGCTCGTGGAACCTGTATCAATTTGTGACTTTAAGTTTGGAACCAACCAGAGGAATTAAACTGCCTGTGATTTGACTGCTTGACTGATTCTTAAGACAGTACAGTTATCTGCCTAGTTGTGGCTAGTGATGCTAGCAAAGTTAAAAAGTAAAAGTATTGATAAATTCAAGTCATCCTTAAGCAACTTAGTTTAACACAATCATTCTGTTCTGGCAGCGGTAGCAATATTCTATAAAAGGATAGTCTAATTTGAACTTCAGATAACATAAACTAACCTTATCCTCACTTTTATACTGTATTAAGAAAAGTAAGGCTTCACTCTTGTTTAGAAATGTAAATGCAAGTCAGTTTGCAGCTACTGTAAGAATTTTATTCTTGAAGAGAACACTGATAAGCCTAACGATTTAGTTGTTGACATAGTTAGCCGCAGCTAGGAGGAAAACAGTACCATCTGTGTGAGATTTCCACAAAAGTGGCAAATCACCGGCAGCTTCTTCTCTCTGTTGGGCTCCACCCTCAAAGTGATAAAGGTCGACACGAGCGCACAGACAGATCCCCATAAGAGTATGAGAGAATCAAAGGTGCATTAAAATAAAGCATGCAATTATGCTGGTGTTATATTGGGGCAGATTATATTAAATCTGCCTGACTACAATGTTAGAAATGTGTGAGAAGAATAGTTTATATGCATGCATATTAAATAAAACTGCTCATATCAGTGTTATGTGTGTGCACTTTTAGCAGAATTCTGACCATATAATCCTTTAAAAACCTGAAGGGGGGTTTGAGATTAGTCAAAGTTGAGTTTTGTATAGACCTTTCATAATACAGAGTATCAAGATTAAAAGGTTCCTGCAGGTTTGAGCAAAATTGTTCTAGCCTTTGCAAAGTGCTTAATCTCGCCACACAATCACAGGACTGATACCACTGATCCTGTCCTTTTTGCATTTAATCTAATTATGCAATGCTTTGCAACTTACAGATGCTGTAGTGAGCGTTTTGTAGTTGACAGCTTTATTTTAAAATTTGAGGTTCTTTGTGATTTTATCTGGCCAGAATCGGACCATGAATATATGGCCGATTTTCCCAATGTTGTAACTGTCAATTTTTGGATTTGAAAATTTTACAATATTAGATGTGCCCATGAAATTTATACTTGTCAACCCATTGCAAACCAAAATTAAGTGATCAGATTTTTCATGCAGTGCTAGCAGCACTATTACTACCTTTTTTATCTTGATGTATAATATTCTATAACACAATAATCTGGGAAATTTATGGGACTCTGCCTATACGGAAGAACGACAGTAAAGGAGGATAAAATACGGTCGAAACAGGAGACTTGACAGCCACACCATGTATCAAGCTGTGGTTGTTGCTTTACGTGACTTCTCTCCTACAATTGTTTCTCTCCTCATGCTGTGCAGGAATCAGCTCATGGGTTTACTTGTGTGGTAAATGCTTGCTTTGTGTTGAGTTCATGTTTGTTTTGAGCAGCTTGCTAGATGCTAAAATCTGGAAATCCACCATTTGTTGAGCAGCAGCAAGCAAACCAAATGGTTTAGAATTTGTCAGAATGACAGATGAATGCCTTTTCTTTTTGTAGTTTTTGTTCTGTGCTTGAACAGTTTCCATCTGAGTGTTTTTCATTGTGCCGTCTTCAGGCTGGGGAAATATCAGTGTGCTGATGTAAAAGCAGCATTTCATTTATAATCTGGGTCCAGTTAACTTGCAACAAGTTGCTTTTACACATTTCTTCTGATAAAAATGAGCATAGAAAAAAATCTTGTATTCATATTGGAGTATATGTTTGTGTTTTGGCCTCCAGAAGTCACTGTAACACAAACCAAGATGTTCTGTTTTCATTTTGAAAACAGAACCTTAGGTACAGCTAAGGGAGGAAACAAAGATGGTGTACGTGGTGTAAAATATATATTTAGCATTCTAATATATCCCCAGACTCTGGTGTCAAATCTACTAAATATAAGGCTGCACTTTTTTTATATAAAGTAATGTCATATCCTCTCTGATCTATGATACTTTCACACAGGAGGCTTGGAATCAGCAATATCTGATGTAAGTTAAATAATTTATTTATATATATATATATATATATATATATATATATATATATATATATATATATATATATATATAATATTATTCCATTGCTGTACCTGAGCTATGTTTATTTCAGACGAACATCCATGTGATTTACAACCTGTTTTTGCACTTCCAGATTCAGGTGCCTTCCCTCAACCCATCCTCATCCAGCTGGGCTTGGGACTGTGAGGAGGATCGTAGGCGGCAGGAGAAGTGGCAGGAAGAGCAAGAGCGCCTTCTGCAGGCAAATGCTTTAATTCAATCATAATATACTGTTTATTATAGGAAAAACTACAATTTTTTTTATTCCTTTAGGAGCAGTACCAGCGAGATCAAGAGAAGTTGGAGGCAGAGTGGCAAAGGGCACAACAGGATGCAATAGAAAGCGAGACGCTGAGGGTAAATTTCTTAAACGCTCAGTTTATGATTTTAGTATATTCCTAAATCTGAATATACTGGCATCATACCTTCACTTGCTTTTTGGTCAGGAGGCTTTGTGTATGCTCTACACACAGCCAAATAGTTAATGTTATCTAATGGTACTGGTATAAGTTTTCACAGCTTGTCGGCCATCTAACAAAATGCCAAAAAACAGAAAAGCAACCACTACGGTAGCTTTTAAAATATAATCTAGTTCTTAAAGATTATCTTGACCAATAAGCAATTTTCATTTTGATGCTCAGGTATGAAAGAATTGACCATCAATGTTAAAAGTGCCAGTAGTAGATATTTTTAGCATGATCTAGTTCAGTCCTTTAATGGTTTTGCTCTCAACTAAAACTAGAGAACTTTCAAATTAAGCCGTTTAAAATCTTTTTGTTTTTGGATGCATGTTTTTAAGATAGAAGTAGTTGTAAAAGTAAACATGCATATTAAACTCATTTGTGGTGCTTGTTGATTAATTTTAATTAGTTTCACATGCAATAAACTTTATTTAAGGCAAATAAAAACATATCAATAAGGGGAGTGGAGGCCTAGTGGTTGGAGCATAGAGCTTGGAATCCTGAGGTTCTGAGCTTGAGCCCCACTCCCACAGACTGCCGCTGTGGATCTCTGAGCAAGACCCTTAACCCCACACTGCTCCCCAGGTGCCCCACAATGGCAGCCCACTGCTCCTGAAGGGGATGGGTTAAATGCATAGGTCAATTTCTCCAATATGAGATCAATAAAGTTCAAATATTATTACATAAGCAATATTTAAAAATCAAGAAAATGAATATGGACAGAATAAATTGGTTTTCCAGTTTAAAGTTAACGAGTGATTTGCTGGTTAGCTTCCACAGTCTCTCCTGTTAGAATCTTTTATTTTTTCTAACCAGGAGATGATAATTATTCAAGCTTGTTTAAAAAGTGTTTGTTTTGCTTCATTTTAAGTGATATGTGGCATTCCTCTGTTAATATTTGTTTTTTGATAGAAAAAATGTTGGGTTTTTTTTATCTCTGGAAAATTTTTGCAATTTTTTCTTATTGATTTGACTTTATTGACCTCACAGTGGAGAAATGTACTAGTTACATCAGCTCAAATAGACAAAGAAGAAGGTGCCAAAGGAAGTAAAAAGGTGCATGAGATATATACAGTGCGTCCACAGATGACAGTTTTTTGTTCCTTTTTTTTCTTCCCCCAACAGGTCAAAGCAGTGGTTGGCTTAGTTAGTTACTGTTCTTGCCAGTTAATGGGTTATTTGGCTTTTGTTTTATTCCCTACCAACACAAATGTTACATCCAAACACAATTGTAATTTATAGGAGAATGCTGTTGAGATGGGCAGTGGTCCTGAGCTGTTTGCCAGTTCCCAATTTTATGCAAACGGACTGACAAAGGGAAAAAAAGAAGAGAAAGTGAATCTTGATGGAGAATATCAGAAAGAAGCTGGACTGATGCATCCCAGTATTGCCCACAGAGTGCAGAGTAACAGGATTGCTGAGAAAGACTGGTAAACAAGCTTTTCTTTAAGTGTTCTTGAAAGCAAACGTATGAAATGACAGACATTGCATGATCTCCAATGTTTTTCTTTCCCCATTTCATTACTGCTGGGTCATCTTGTGCTTTGGCTGGGCCTTTTTGCTCCTATTGCTGAACATCAGGGCTGAGGGTTCCAGTGGTTTCGCTCAGCTGTCCCATGCTCACAGGTCTGAACAAGCTCAGCTTAGTTTCCACTTATTATTGCACTCTGCCTTCATCCCCTTGCTTACAAACAGCATATTTCCCTGTAGAAATTAGTCTTGATATAATGTTATTGACTTTTGATGCATTTTGTTTTTCTACTTTTAACTGCACCGGAAATTAGTTTCTTTTATGGTGACAACAGTTTTAGAATAATCTGTAAAATGTAAAGCTTAGGACTGTGCAATATTTATTGCAGATGTTACCTTATTAACAGAAAATGTTTCCAAAATTTTTAATAATCCCACTAAATTCTGATCCTGAACTGTATAATATGGGAGGTATAGGCAGAGGAAAGGATTAACTAATTAGCTAAACGATGCATGGTTGGCTGGGTTTTTAAAGGTTATGTCCAAACAGGGTTAGGGCTTTAGTTTAAGTTCAGCCTTTTTTTCCCTTGTCCCTATTTTAAATCGTTTGAAAAATGTATCAAGATATCAATATCAGTCAATATCAATAATTTTGTCCACCATATGGTACAGCCCTAATAGAGCCATCAACAAACTTCTAGCAATAATATGGAGCTAGAAATGTCAGTTTCTTTACATCTTTCTAACAGGGCAATGTCCATGTCGACTCCGGTTTTATCTGGACCCTGCAGACAATCAAGAGGTTAGTTGACCCTACTCCATTCTTCTCTTTTTGTTGCAATGGGCCTAACCTCTAAAATGTTAGGTTTAGGCGATCCAAGGAAAAGAAGAGGGTTAACCATGTCAAAAGCTGAGAGGGAGAGACAGCAGATTTTGGAGGAGATGAAGAAGAGGACTCAGCTTCTGACTGACAACAGCTGGATACGCCAACGCAACGGTGGATTTCATAAAGAGCCAGCTGATGTTGGCACCGCCATGAAGAGGTAATGATAAACTAGGTTTTGAACTCACTTTGCGTCCTGGCTGTCTTTTCGATCATTTTGTGGCCGTCTCTCCACAGATATGAGTCTCTGGACAACCTGGATATTTTCCATCAATCCCCAGACTGTGCTGCAACATTTACTTACCCTCGCCCCAGTTCAGCTGCTGGAGGTTACAGTGCTCAGACTAGGACTGCCTCCTCACGCTACAGCACTGGCTCGTTGTCTTTCCAGAGACATGTGAACATGGAGTCCTCTCATCAACCCAGGTAAACAACTCGTGTTGTTTAAATTTTCCCTACCTTTCGTGTGCAAGTGTTTTTCTCCTTCTTTTCCCATATGGTGGCCTTACACTGTTAACATGTGGCGCCCCAGGATGGTCAGTGGCAGGAGGACTTGCTGTGTGTGTGAGCGTGTCCTGGGTAGTGGGGCTGCGATGATCATAAAGACCCTTAGTCTCTGTTTCCACCTGACCTGTTTCCAGGTGAGAGGTTAAGGCCTGGTTAGGGTGTGGTCACAGAACTCTTGTCGCTTCAAATAATTGGACCAGGCTGCCTGCTTTTAATTTTTTTTTTTGTCGGGTGGGGGGGGTCCTTCTATTGGGATGTTTCTCCTTTTTGACTCTGTCCAATGAAATCAGAACTTTCGCCTGCATAATGGTTTGTGTTTAAGTCTTTAAAGCCTCTGCAGTGGTGTCTGCTCTCTCAGAAGTAGTGATAAGTGCTCTTTCTGTTCCAGGTTCTATTTTAACTTGTGTAATTGGCCAATGGGTGATGACAGTACTCTGTCATGCTTCGCTTTTAGACGTTAATTGTAAATGTCACAGGCATGGACAAATTGTTCATTAACCAGTAAATGTAAAATGACTTTCCTTTTTGTTACTGAGAGTAACTTGCACACAGCCATGCATCTCATGTTCACACGGAAACAGACATCTGCTTTGTGCTAAGGTGGTGGACAGTTTGAAGCAATGTTGAGACATTTCAGATCAGCTGGGATCTAAAATTGGCCCTGATCCCTTTCTCACTTCTCCATCCTGCTCTTAGTGTGTGGGCTGCAATCGACACCTCGGAGGAACAGAGACTGGAGTCCAGGTTCGCATCCATAACAGGAGGCCCTACTGTGATTACTGCCATTTCCAACTCAAGTGTAAGTATTGGCCTTTGCAAGACTGACCCTGACTGATTTACCCCAAATGCTGAAAACAAATAACCTCTTTGTCTAATAGAGGATAAACAGTATCCAAGTCAAACATGCAGCCTTTTTTATTTATTTCTCCTGTTGGGAAGGAAATAAAGACACTTGATCTTTTTTGGAGAAATTACTGTTTTCGTTTTTTTTAAATGAAATCTGATTTTACTGTGTTCCATTTTAGACTCTGCCCTCCGCATGTGACCAACACGCTGTGCTGCAGATACAAGATTAGGGTGTGGGAAATGGTGTCATACCTGATATACATTGTTTTTCTTTCTTTTTTTCATGATTATTTGTACAATAAACTGATATGTGCTATCTTAGGTCTTGGAATACACAACTGTTGGCTGGTTTTATCTGTAATGGTGTATAGCTGAACTGTGTTTCTGCTAATTTAATTGCAAAAACTAGATTTAATATATACATTTAAAAATCTAATTTTTTTCTGTGATGTAATTTGCTTGTTAATCAGAATCTATTTGCTGTGTGTGGGGTTTAAATATATCAGATGTTTATCAAGATGCATAAAATGTTGAACATTTAAACAATGTACTAAAGCACTTCCTGTTCACTTAAAAGTCAGAGTGCACCGTGGGGTAACTCATTGATACAGTGTGTATGTTTCTCAGAGGATCATTGTTGTCTTAATTATAACATTTGTCAATAAAAGTACACTACACAAACTACCTGGGTTTTCCATAATGTTTTATAACCACATGATGGCAGCGTTGGTCTTGGAATGAAACTATCTCATACTGTTGATAAAAATGGGAGTTTCTTTTGAATATAACCAAATGATTTCATGCTACTAGTGAAGCCCTTGTAGACTTTAAAAGTGGTTTCCTCTATGGAATTTCCAGAAGGATTCATGCTTTCAGTAGATCTGTGTTCGGTGGGCTTTGCCTCGTGTCACCAAAAAGTGAAAAGTCGTCAGAAGAAGCGAGACCAAAATAAGGAAATGTGCAATTATTTGAATGGCAAAGGAAGTCTTCTTGCCCTGGCTGAGGGAAGACGTGTCTGTTTTTCTTCTTTTTTTTTCCTTCTTCCACTTTGTTGCATATGCAGCAACACTGTGTATTACTTAAACATTTCTCAGAACTGACAAATGGTTTCTGCTTCATTGCTTTAATGTTTTTGAATAAGGATCTTACTGAACTGGTAACTACCACAGATAAATGTAGACCAATAAACTTACTTGGCTAAATTCTTGTATTAAAGGATTTTTGTTTTGTTTTGTTTATCCATTTCTATTTGCAAATTACATATTTACGTTATGTACTGCATATTAACTCTACTGGGTAATTGAAAAAAAATCTCCAGTGCAAAAGAAAACAGTTTTAGCTTTAGATATGACCTTTGTGGAGCAGGAGGGGAGTAGTCTTTCACCAGTGGGGAGGTATTTCTTCGATTCTAGCTTCGCCCACTACATGTTTGTGCCTGAACAAAGCCCCAAACCATAGCTTACCCCCGAACCGGCATATGTATGTGTGTTTTGTAGTATAAAATAACTGAGTGTTAAAGACTGAAAAAGCTGGGATAAAAGGCAGCCCAGTTGCAGGAATTTAATAACTCCACTTTTACCAGTCATTTAAATATACAAATGATCTCATAACTTAGTCACTTGTATCAAACTCTGCAAATGGACCCGTTTTTCATTACCTCAAACTATGGAAACCTCATTCAGTAACCTCTGCTTCTGCTATTGGGACAGCTGTTTAAAGCTCCTCTATAATGAAGCTGGATTGCATTACCATTTTACAACACGTGGTTGAGCCCAAGTGCTTTTAAAATGGTTTAAGAAGATTAAAATTAATGTTAATTTGATGAAAAAAAATTGTATGGCTGTTGCAGAGTAAAAACTGACTTTTTTCTGTCGTAGGCTCTTCAGTGTAAAAATGCTTTGCTTTAAAAGGCTTTTTTGTTTTTTTGCTAACTACACTTGGAGAAAATTGTCTTTTATTTTACAGAATCCAACTTAAATGTCTCCGTATGTAAAGCAGTTCATATTTCCAGATTCTCATTTTCCCCTGTGTGACCATAACACCAGTATACGTGGTACTTGAAATGAACAAAGCCTGCTTTTACCACACTAGTTTTGTCTGAATTAGGAAGTTGTTCATGCAAATATGCACATCTGCTGTATATTGCACAGAACTTCCCAAACGGCCTATCGTAGTCCAGTATGTTTTTGTTCTGCCACAATTAAATTAGTAGACACTGGGAAAGTAAGCAGGAAGAATGTTAGAGGTACAATCTAGGTCAGAGAGTTTTAACTGTATGTAACTTTCATCACCCCTTGCCTAATCGATGGAAATGTTATTTTACGGTTTTAATGTCACCCTGCTCTTTTGTAAGAGGATTCACTTCCCCAAAGGCACAAATGGAAGTTTTTTTTTTTTTTCTTTCAGTTTGATTTACTCCACATGTTTTTTGAGAATGGATCCACTGCGACCTTTTTAAATACCACAAGTGGAGTGAGGTGGAAACACCGGAGGGTCAAACAAAATGGCCAGAACCCACAGGCTGCAAGGCATCTGTTTTAATTTAACTTGAGCTGAAAGGAACTGATCGATAGTGCGGACCAGTGTTTACAGAGCTACAGTAGCAAGCATTCCTTTCAGTGAAATGGTTTGCTTTTCCCTCTCAGACTAAATGTCTTTATCCCATTTCTATATTAAATCATTCATTTTTCCATTGAATTGTCAGATGCTCATTTGCCCTTTAGCTCACCAGAAATTGATTATTATGCTTCTTGGGAAAACAAACTTATCTTGAAATGCTGTAATTAAATCCTGAACACCACATGCAATATGTTCTGTTACCTAGTTTTATATAGTTGGGGAAAACCCCAAAGCAGAAGCCAACCCTTTGTGTGTTTTTAAACCTTTTAAGTGGTTTGTAAGTATGTAACTCTGGGATACATATAGAAGTATGGGTTTGCTAAGAGTTTCTGTTACTGAGCGGAAACTCTTGACCTTTGTTACTGAAGAATCTAAAGAATTTTTAAGGCTCATTACTTCCTTTGAGAATAAGACTGTACAATTTGATTGTTTTACACTGGAGATGGTTAGAGATGAACTGACAATGTGAAGAAAAGTTATTTTTAAAATGTACAAAGCCTTCACTCACTGTGAGAATGTCTTTGCATTACCACAAGCAATAAATATGTAAAGACCCTTTATCCAACCTGGGTTGATCTGGGTAGTTCTAGAAAATATAGTACAGAAAAGATTTTTTCCAGTTTTCCTGTGTGTTTATAACTACGAAACCTGAACTGGTTTTGGTCGTGCACACATTCAGAAAGCGTCAAATAACTGGGAGAATACAGCTTGATGTAAAAATGCCTATAAAGTTATTCTTTTTTTGGCTGCTCATCCTATCAAGGAAAGTATGACAAGAGGAAATGGTTTGAAGCTGCAAATGTGGCCTAAGCTTTGCCATTCATCTCTCCTTGCATGATCTAGCATGTGGCTGTCCCACAAGGAAGAAGTGGGTGGGACATTGCTTTTCAGCTATTAATGTTGTGTGAGGGAAAACGTCACTAACACTATCCAGAGCCCAAACAGCCGGCGCTAGACGCTCAGCTCACGAGAAACCAGGGAGGCTTATGTGGAATGTGTTATGATAATCATAAACTTTAAATGTGATCATAAATAAATGTTTGTCTCTTTCCAGGTTATAAAAGTGTAGTACTTTTGAAAATATGATTGTTGACGCACTGAGTAAGTAACGTAGCCAAGCTTAGATGATTTGTGACCAAGCTGTGCGGGGCCTCATTCTAGGTGTAGACTTGGAATCGTTTAATCTTTCTCCAAAAGTAGAAGTATTATGATGTTTTTATGGAAAGGCAGCAGTTAAACTGACAAAAGGACAGTTTAGATAAAATGGCTTCTGTTCATCAGTAAAGCCTCTCTGATGAATATTTGTCATCCATTAAAATGTCCACCTTCTTAGACAGTTCTTGGTATTTGTTGGAGAAAAAAAAAACATTTGGCAACTGTAGCATCTAAATGTTCATTGGGTTGGTTTTTTTTGTTTTTTTTTCCTCTGGGGGAATATGCTACTATTTTTCTGTCCAATACTTTTACCTGGAAATGTCAGTAGATTGTTTTGGGTGGTAAAAGTGAAGAGAAAGTATATTAATCCAGTAGAAGTAGGATAGCATCTGAAAGATATGAGGAATAGTAAAGAGTCTACTATTTTACAAAGCAGCACAGAGATGTCTCATTGTTTGATTTATTGGTGATTTTCTGCAAACTGCTCGTAATTTCCCTTGTTGGTTCCAAATTTGCTAGTTTCCATGAAGTTCTTGTTTCTGTTTTGGACTTTTATTAAATTTAAATGCTAAATATCATCAAACAAATCTTAATCTCAAAGGAGTGATTGAAGGAAAAAATGTATCTAAGATTTATTCAGAGTGAAGTACATCAAAACAACCTGCTCCTAATTGAAAAAGATACAGCCCTGTATATCTAAAAACTGTTCATGCCATCCTTGGCAAAAACATGTTTTAAGCATTTGCAAGAACTGCTCACTGTACTGATTTAAGTTAAGAAACTGACTTCACCACTGCAAGGCTGTTTTTCTGTGGGTTTCTTAAGCCCTTTAAAGATGGAGCTGTTTTCAGACTACAGTCCTCAACAACCAAAGTCTCATTTTATCTGTCATCTAATCTCAAAAGCTTTCTGTTAGAGCATAAAGGTAATGGTTTTATAAATGAAAACACGGGGTCTAAGTTCTGACTTAGAAAGACAGCCCTAGGCCATCAGCCTCCACAATCATGTGAGATGTTGGTGTGTATATATGTTTAACAATGTAACATTAAACATTCCCTTACAAAAAAAATCTCTCCTCAGCTAAATATTTTCCCAAATCCCTTGATCATGTAGGTGTATTTCAGACAAATGAATACCGGGTTGTCTTTTTTTTTTTTTTTTTTATGAGTCTTTTCATTTCATTGGAGGGGTAGTGTTGAGCTATGAAATCTGTAAAGAGAAACTTCACACATATGATTTCCAACTAAAAGATGCAAGATAATCTTTTTTCCAAGAGATTAACAAAAACATCAACAATGCTCGCGCCTTATTTGCCACAGTCAACAGGTTAATAAACCCTCCTATTGATGCAACTGACGAACTCCACACTAAAAAGACCAGCAATGACTTTGCAAAATTTTAAGTGAAGCAATACAAGGCATTAGAGAAGCAGTCTGCACATCAATGACAACTCCAGTACCAATGCTGTCTCCAGTTAGAATAAACTCTGTTAAAATGTCCCGATTCTGCCCTATAAACTGCAAACATTGAGAAGAAACTGTTCAGCAGCTAAGCTCCTCTTCCTGCTGTTTTGATGTTTTACCCACAGATTTTATTAAGAGGTTTTTGCCTGTTTTTAGACTGATTTGATTCAAATAAACACATCCCTTGTGTCAGGTGTTTCCCCCCGAGCCTTAAAAGCAGCAATTATCAAACTAATGTTGAAAAGGAGAATCTTGGACAAATTTGTCCTTCATAACTACAGACACATCTCAAACTTCCCCTTTATCAGTGAAATTATTGCGAAAGTTGTGTTTTAACAGTTAAATGCCCTCTTAACAATGCCCAGCTGCTTAGATGTCTTCCAGTCAGGTTTCCGTGCCAACCACAGTACAGAGACTGCCCTGATTAAGGTGTTCAATGACATCCATATAAATTCATACTCTGGAAGAACCACAGTACTGGCATTATTTGACCTCAGTGTAACATTTGATACCGTTGATCACCCGATTTAATTATAATGTCTTGAAAACTGGGTCTGCCTTTCTGGTACAGCACTCAAATGGTTTAAATCCTACCTGAAGGACAGGGAATTCAATGTGTCAGAAGGGAACTAAAAAATCAGAGACCAGAAAAATCACATACTGG